TGAGCTGCCTGGCCGGCGCCAAGCACGGGTACACCTGCCGCTGACGCAATCGCCGCCTCGGTTGCAGGAGGGTGCGGCCGTGCCCACGGGCTACAGCGCTCGCCAGCTGCAACCCGCCCACTCGTCTGCGTGCTCCTGCCCGCCCGCGGCTGCGTCGCCATCGCCTGCATCGTCACCCCCGTGCCCCTGGGTTTTGGGAGCGGGAGTCCGTTCCCCCGTCACCCTGGCATGAGTGATTCCTGACTGTTGGGTGATTCATCCCATCGTGCTGCTAAAATCAACCTACAGCCTGGGGCCGGCGAGATTTTTCCGTCCGGCTTCCCTCGCCGCTGTACGCTGCCAAGAGCGCGGTTGCCGCGAAGCTCCCGCCACGCTTTGGAAGGGAAGCGCGTCACAGGGATGTCCTGTTCCCCTCGCGTCTGGCCGGAAAAACCCCGAGCAGCCGGTGGAAGGGGAGGAGGTGCGATGCTGATGCAATGCCGCCTGCCTCTTGAGTGCTCCTCTCGCCACGTGTGCCGCTGCGGTCGGGGCGGTCTCTGCCTCGCTTCCCCTGGGAGGCGCTCCCTAGTGCCAGCCGCAGAGATGAACGTGGCTTCAGCTCTGTGTCTCCGGTGCTGGGACTCGGGCAAGTCTCGTCAGACAAAGAAACCCTCCCTCGCTGCCGGCTTCCAGCGAACGGGCTCGTCTTCCTCTCCCTGCGGGTGGAGGGACCCTGGCAGCGCCCGTGGGTTTCCAGGACAACGGGGGAGTCGTGCCGACTGCCCCTTCGAGCGCAAAGCAGGGGGCAGGGACCTTGTTGCCCCGTGGCTGTTGCGGGGCGTTTCTGCAGAGAGCCGGGGTCTCCGCTGGTGGGCTTGTACACGAGACCCTCTGACCCATCTGCTGCGGAGCAGGGCTGCGGACTGCTCCAGGCAGTGCTTCTCGGGGTCGTTCGCCTCCGGGTCCCCCTTGGAAAATGCCAGCTCTTGGCTTTCGTTCTTGACAACGGGGAAAAATAGTGGAGCGGTTCTGCTGTTGCGAAAGGGCTGGGGGCGTCTAGAGGAAGCCTCTGGGCTTATCTTGACTTGCACGCGCCCATGCCGGTGTGGCGTGGTGCCAGGCAGCACTGTCGCAGCATCTTTGGGAAACCGTGGGAGGGAGGCATGGGTGGGGGCACTGCTGCTGCGGTTTTGCTGGCAGAGGTGACCTCTGTTCTGGGGCCTCGGCAAGAGCCGTCCCCACGGCCAGGGGGACGCGGCGTCGGTCAGCGCTCCCAGGCCCAGCGCGCGGTCCCGTGGAGCTGGTGTCGGCCGTGGGCTGGGCTGCCTCTGTCCTGGGGAGGCGGGCAGCGATGGGAGCGGGTCCCGGCCTAGTCGCGCGGGTGGACGCCCCTAGCGCACGCGCTAGACCGAAGCGGGACGTGATGTGCTGAAGGGCTTCTCCTACCATGCGGCAGGACGAGTGCTGTAGGACGCCAAGATGACACTAACGTTTCCCAGGCTTCGGGGTGATCCCGTGCTCCTGCTACGGAGGTCAGGGTATTTTTAGGCCTTCCTCGGAGACATTGGCTGGGATGGAGTGGGCTGTGCCAGTGCTTCTGCTGGGACCAACCCTGCAGGGTCTTGCCCCTCTGCTCCCCACGAGACCCATGCTATATCTGGGGTCAGGAAGGGATTTCTCCCCCAGGTCAGACCGGTACGGATGTGGGGCAGGGGTGCCTCTGTCTGCAGTGGGGATCTCTGCCTGGGATCTCTCCTGTGTCTGTGCACCCCTCGTGGGCCAGCGCGGCCCCTGCTCTCCAAGTCCCTCCTGGCCTTCGCGCGGATGAATCCAGAGGCTGGTAATCCCTCACCTTAGTGGCAGATCTCGCCTGCCGGGAGGCAATGGGCTGCATTGCGGGAGTGCAGCAGTCGGTCGCCAGCGTCTGGGCTGCAGCCCTGCGACGCGGGGCCGGGGCCTGCGCTCGCCGCGCTTTGCCCAGAGCCACCGTCCCGAGCCAGGGCATTGTCCGGTGCCAGCCGAACGGGCGATCGGACCCGACAGCTCGCAGCCCTGAGGTGGAAGCGCAGGAGCCGGCCCTGCGAGGGGGTGAAAGCCGCTGCTCCGGCCTGTCACCTCTTGGAGGATGGAGCCAGGCAGCTGAGCCTCCTGGCACTGCTTGCTCGTTAGCCCGGGGGCTGGGGCAGAATCAACCTCATTAGCTCGGCCAGCTCTGCTCTGGGCATCGGGACTGCTGGGTTTGTGCCCGATGGTGAACTCCGGCTTTCAAAGAGTCTCTTGATGCCTGCGCTCTGGTCCCCCCCGCTTGGTGAGACACAAGATCACCCAGTTGCAGACACGGAGCCGCTGGGAACCGGCAGCACGGAGCAGGGCTTGATGCTTGCCTGGATGCCTCCTTAACCACGCCGTCCCGGCTACCCCACTTCCCTTGCCCATGCCCTCCGCCGCGGCAGGGTCGCTTTGCCCAGGCGCCTGCTCCCGCCCCAGCAGCTTGGCGACGGGCAGGGAAGGGGCACTAGCAGTCTCTAGCCGCCGAGCCTGACCGGCTGGGTCTGCCGTCGCCTGCGTCCACCTGCCACGTGCTTGGTCAGCCGTGGCACCCCGGGGCCACGCACATCTGCCTGCTGGGCCTTTGTAGCAGCAGTGACAGCCAAGCCTGGGGGTGGCGGGGTCGGAGCAGCCTGAAGCCTGCGCGCTCCTCTCGGTTGTGCTTGGCGTCTCGTAACGCAGCGGCGGGATGCTGCCCCGCGGAGCTGTGCCGGGGAGGAAGGGAGGGCGGCACGGGGGGTTCTTGCAGTCTTGTCCTCTCTGTTCCCCTCAACGCCCTCTTCTCTTCCCACAGGAACATCTTCCCCTCCAACCTGGTCTCGGCCACCTTCCGCTCGGTAAGTGCCTCGCCCCGTCCCGTGTTTGGCCTCCCTTCCTCCCCATCTCTCCGTCCCCCTTGGAGAAAGCTGGGGGACCCCCCTGCACCAGGGACATGAGCCCAGTAAAGCAGAGGGGGCTTGGGCAGGCCCTGCCGGGGACCAGCGCGCCTGGGTATGGCCCCGTGCAATAGCTTTTCCCTCTCTGTCCCTGCAGTACGCCACGTCCTACAAGCTGGTGGCCATCAAGAAGAACATCACGGATGAGCTGGGGGTCATCAACGAGACGGTGGTGGTGGAGAAGGTAAGAGCGGCGGCGCTGTGGCCGGCCAGGCTAGACGGCTCCCAGCCAAGCTCCGGGCAGCTGGTGCCAGTCCCGGGCGTGCGGATTCGGCGGGGGGCTCCTGGCAGGGAAGGGCGAGGGTCCTCCGCATCCTGGCAGAACGGCTGGGTGCTCTGTCCACGACGCCTCCCTGGCCCGCGCTGGATCCGCCAGGGCCTGGGTGCAGTGCCGCGCGCTCGGGAGCAGCCTGGGAGCTGGGCTGTGAGCGGCGCGTGCTGTCCCGTGCTCCCTGGTGCCCTCTCCCGGGTGGGGACGGAGACGCGCCAGCCTGTAGCTCCCCGCTCTGGGATGCCGCTCTGTAGAGGAGGTCCCGGGGGTCCCCGTGGGTGCCTTCTGCAAGGCTGCGGCTGACCTCCCCGCTCTTGGCTCAGGTGCCCTGGGGCGAGGAGGTGGAGGGGATGAACATCCTGGGCCTGGTGGTCTTCGCCATCGTCTTCGGGATCGCGCTGCGCAAGCTGGGCCCCGAGGGCGAGAACCTCATCCAGTTCTTCAACTCCTTCAACGAGGCCACCATGGTGCTCGTCTCCTGGATCATGTGGTGAGTCGGGAGCCCGTGCCGGGGCCTGGGAGAGCAGCAGGGAGCGGGTTCAGGCCCCTGATCTCTCCCGGGGCTCAATGCAGGCTCCTGGGTGGGTGGGAGGAAACATTAGGAGCCTCTGGTGATGGGGATGAGTGGAAAGAAGGGGGCTCAGGACAAGGGGGACCCCAGGCCCAGCCCTGTTGCCTGCCATTGACGGGGCTTTCCGCACCTGCCAGGGGCTGCTGCATCTCCTTTCTCCTGGGGCCCAGGCCCCAGGGTGGCCTCGGCTGTGGCCTGGTGTGGGGGCCTCTGGCCTGGGGCAATGGAGGCTCCATGGAGCCCCCAGGCAGCCCAGTTCTGGTGCTGGGAGGAGGATGCATCCCTTGTCGGGGCCCGGGGGCCCTGCCTTGGGCTGAGCTGGAAGAGGAAGGGCTCCCCGCTTCATGGCAGCAGGGAAGCCTGACCACCCTGGGTCAGAAACCCTCGCGGCTGGATGTCTTCCTCGTGGGCCCCAGGACCTGAGAGACTGTCCCTGTCCTGCCGACCCCCGCAAGGGGCAGGGCGCCAGGACTCCTGGGCTCTCCCCTCCATGTGAGCCGCGGCCCTGCCCCGGGGAGGCTGGCCCGGG